ATCCCGAGAGGATTCAGAAACATTTAAATACGCCCTTTGGTGTGTAACGAGGATAATTGTGTAATCAACACGAACATTACCAGGAGAAGAGCGAACCAGAATTTTTTACTTTTTGTTAATGTAAAGTGCAAGCACTAAGCTGCTCTATTTCTCTTGTTGACATCTGGTCTTCTAATTTTTCACCTTCGACCATGAGTTCGAATCAACAAATTAACCTTCTCTAGGGAAATTTTGGGGTTCAACGGTTCCTGCGGAGCAGACGTAATTTTGGCGAGCGAGTGCTCATAATTTCCCAAAGAAAATTATGGCCACCATATTTTATTTTAATGGCAGCGGTAGGCGCGAAGAGGGAGAAATTTTTACCAAGAAGGTGATCGACAGTCAATAAGAAGGAGAGAGGTGGGGGAAGGGGAGTGCCTGAGGTCATCAGGAACGCCGTTCGTGAGCGAACGGAGTTCCTGATTCGTGCGGCTACGCTCCAGCTGTCAATTAAAAGTTAAATGCGGCATTTGGACATTTTGCTCTTGCGGGAAAATGAGAAGGATGGCAAACTCTGTAAAGGATGATGTTGTCAATGTCTTGTGCATTAAAATCGGAACAAAAAGAAGCAGTTGCTATACCGGTTCTGGAAAGGATCTACTGATCGTGTTTCCAACTGGCTTTGGGAAAAGCTCGATACTTCAGGTGTTGGTTCCCTGGAGCAAAAGAAATTATGACAAGGAAACCTTCGAGCATAGTTGTCGTTTGTCCACTACAACGGGCTGTTCATGATCAAATGGAATAAGCATCTTCGATCGGATTAACGGTAGTTATGCTCACGGATTTTCGTTTGGAGGACATAAAGTGCGGCAAATATCAACTCGTATTTGCGTCAGCGGGGAACATTTTGATAAAGCCATTTTTTTCGCACATGAAAGACACAGCAACACCGTTCTACCAGAGTATGCCGGTTTGTGTCAAACAAATTATGGCGCGTAAAACGTCGAGTGCTGTTATTTATGATTCAAAGTATCGTTTACGATCATTTGGAAGAAAAAATCGTCAAATAGAGGAACGACAGTTATACTCAAGGATCCTCGTTTGGAATATTTAGAGTGCAAAACATATCAACTCATATCTGAGACCGGGGAGGAGATTTTGTCGCAGCCATTTCTTTCCTAGCTGAAAATAACTGCCTCACCGTTTCACTCATCGGCTCTACTTGTGTTTGTTTTTGTTGTAAGACAATGTTTCCGGTTTTTAATTTAACTCATTTACCTGCTCATCTCCGTAAATACAGTGACACGCAACTACTGATGGGGTGTTTTGCTTTCCAACAATCTCCTCGGGCAGGCGTCTTCTCGCCCTTCCCCCGTCCCCTACCCCCACCATCCACTCTAACTCCAAATCAAACATGGCCGGACTGATAATCGATCGCCCTAATAAGACGCCTGCTATCCACATATTAAGTTAAGGTCATCTGCATCCTTAATGTGCATTATTTTACGCGTACTTGGCGCCCACTTAATAACACATGGCTAGTTTCTCTTTGTGGCCGAAGTTTGCCAGTGAGGTATACTTGAAAAATGCATCGTATTCTTGAACTATACCGGTGAGGTATTCTTGAAAAATGCATCGTGACCTGGAATTATTTTCTCCTCTTTTGAATCTTTCAATTAATTTCCTTAGTAGATCAATGGGAGGAAAATTCAATTTAGCAGATCTGTTTGCACATTAATTTGACATTCTGAGAACTGTGCGAAATTACTACGCGGATACATAGTAGTTCTACCACTCCTTATGAAGCATAATCGTCCCTCTTTCTTAGACCCAGGCGTATATAGTGGACACGACGCTATAAGCTAAATAAAACATTTCAAACGGCGCGCGCACTCTATTAGACGGATCAGGCCACAGGAGATGCACTTCACGAGAAATAAATTGCGAAAACGATCTCGGCTCTTATATCACTTCTTGTATGTTTTTTTTATGAAATGCAGATGAGGACGATTGTTTAACTGCTGTGTGTCACAATGGAAGAATGGGTATCGACAGAATCGACAGCTACACTGCAAGGAAGGATTCATTGGAGAACAGTGTGGTAAAAAACGCCAAAAGGCCAAAGGGTGTATTTTGGTGACACCTTCAACCGTGAAGGCTTTCCGGCAAAATAGAAATTAGAAAAACAGCATACGAGAGGTACAATTTGACCCACCTCTTTACCGCTCGAGCGTTTCTTTTTAGAATACATTTTGCTTCGCTTCGAGGGTGCAGGGGATTTTTCCTTTTTTTGAACCTCCTCTTTTCATATTTTTGTTCGCTTTATTTTACGTCATTGGTTAGTTCTACTGATGTTCAGAGCGAGACTGAAAAGCTTGCTTTTGCCCACCAAGCAGCTTAAAACCCGGCTTTGTCATGAGAATCAAACCTAACTCTGTACATGTACTAACCCATCCCCTTTCGAAGATGCATGTGGCGAGAAATTTCCGCAAAAGCCATCACCCCATTGAGGCTCTCACATATTGGGGCCAGGAGATTATAAACCAGTTAAGAATCTCTTGTTGGAGCTAAATACTTCAGAAATTGTGTTCCTTTCTACTCTACTTAGTTGAGACTGTAGTTTTCTAAGCTTTTTCTAGATTTCCAATCTCTCAAGATAAGCATTTTTTACATCTGACATCCCGTTTAATTCGAATAACCCATATAATCCGATCCCTATTTCTCCATTTACAACTGACATTAAATTGTCAAAACACGTTTAATAAGCATGAAATTTCTTAGCTCCCCAAAGTATCCCTAGACCTCTAACCTTCCAACTAGAGAGATGAGAATACTCTTGCTCTTCAGAATTCTGATAATTGAGGAAAATAATTTGTTAGGTTTTCCTCAAAAGAATGATAACTTGAGGTACCTAGCTTTCCCAAGTTTTCACAGCGTGTTACGAGAAGTTGCTTACAACGTAATTACAGAGGCTAACTAGAAGGCCTCTTGGAGCTAACTATCAGACGTAAAACGGTCTCAAATGTTTTATTATTGTAAACGGTCAAAAAGCAGCTCTGAAATCCTAACGGTGGAATCCTTAGAAGGTACTTGCATTCGATTAAAGAGATTCAGTCAACTGAGCTTAAAACTGGAGCCTAAGATGTTTTTCCCCACGGGTTTAATGACATTTTATTGTTTAATTCCAATCTTTTTTAAAAGGATGCTCACCTGTACATTCAGCTTTAAAAGTTTCCCCGTTTTGAAATTTTTCATCCAATTCATTCAAACTGTGGACTTAAGTTTATTATTGTTGGGTCAGGTTTCTAAGTACACCGACTTAGTTCTGTGAAGAGTTGTAATGAAGCAACGTACTGTAGCACTCTATACCTTTACTACTCGTTCACTTGGGCCAATAGTATTTTCGAACAATATAGACATTTCTGAGTGAAAAAAAACCAAAATTCAAAACAATTTGCGCTTAAGCACTTTATTAATTCTCTCTAGCTATCAGCATATCAATATCATGTTTAGCAGAGACATTTCTCTCGTTTCAGTTACTTTGCTTACATGTTCCTCTTACTGATCAAACGACATCTTGCAAACAGATAAGCCTGTAGGAAAATGAAAACAAACAACCGAATGTCAACGTAAGGAATAGAACTAGCTATTTTAAAGACAATTATCTCACCATCCAGGAGTATAAATGAAGCCGACCAACAAACCTTAAGGAAACCTGACAGAAATTGTTGGTATAAAATGCGACGGAATAGCAACTCATCCATGACGAGCAGAAATATCCCTAGTCGCCTAATGCCATAGAAAGGGAAATAAGTTTCTCAGGTTTCGGATATTTAGCTCTGAGTTCAGCTTTTTAAAAAACACTTTCGAGAGGCAAAACATAGAATTTCCCAGTTATAACTTGCATTTTTGATACCAGTCACAAGGGAACATGCGAGAAGGCGAGGAAGTATCGATCCGCTTATGTTGACGTTTAGAGAAGCGAAACCATTTCGAGTTACCTTGGGATGTTTTCTGCGTACCTCACTCACTTCCTCGTGATGAGTTTTTCATTTTGTTTACATCTGACTTTAACAAAGAACTTTTCATAGGTAGCAGCATCAAACTCACCAGGTTTTATCGAGTTCCATGTTGCAGCTATTTGGTCAAAATATAGACATAGTTTGCGCTCTTTACTCCAACGGCGTAATCTCCTTCTTCTTTGCACCCTTTGGATGATGCACCATGCACCTTGTAATC